AGTTGCTCTGCCCCGGGCTTCCTGGAATCAGCTGCTGATCAGTTTCAGCAGCAGCTGACTTGGGGACGCCTGGGGTTCTTAAGTTGATTCTGTATGTAAGTCAGAACTGGCGGTCAGTTTCAGCAGTGTCTGAATCTGGACGCCAGTTCCGACTTACATACAGATTCAACTTAAGAACAAACCTACAGTCCCTATCTTATACGTAACCCGGGGACTGCCTGTATTACATTAAAATGCCTTGTGTACAACTGTGGTATGCCAGACTCTTCTTCTGTTAAGATGAGGTTTGCTGATCAGTAAATGTCATACTGCGGTCTAGTTCTGCAGCTTTTACAGTCACCAAACTGGCCTACTTTCCTACATTAGGGCTGCCTTTCAAATACTCTAGCAAACAATAGCTTTTTTAGGGCTTCCTTTCAAATACTCTAGCAAACAATAGCTTTGTGGCTCGGCAACACAACAGTTCACTGCAGTGAATGCCTGTGCACCTCTGACAAGCCAAACTGATGAACAATGGCTCCTATACACAGAGATTAACATTATTTAAAGATTATGTGTAGCTTCACTTTTTCTCCTCTGCTCCCTTGAATTTTAAAATTGAAATACTGTATGTACACAAGAAGTCCTCCAGATTTGTTATGATATAACTGCCAAAAATTTCCCCTATTATATTGCACTTACAGTATTTATTAAGATTGGGATTGTGCTCATTGTCGGATGATTTTTCAGTATGAAAATTAAAATATCAACTAAGAGTAATTAGAGAAAGGCTTTGCTTTTATGTATGCCTATTGTAAGTCCCCTTGAACTTTTTCCTATGTAATTCCTAACTCAATTTCCTTACTACTCTCCTTTTAAAACTAAGTACATTGTAAATTCAGTTTTTCTTTAAATACGAGAACACTCTGCAGGTGTACATTTTTGGTGATATTTCAACCTATTGTGCAAAATAAGGCAACAGAAGATTAATTTAAGAACCAAATACATTTGTATGAATTTTCCATACAGGAACCATGCAGCAGCAAAGAAGTCAGCTGGAATCTGCTCTTTGTTTTATCATCCTGGATTTTTTCCAAAGTATTATGATCCAATGGTCATACATACACAACCATCTTATAGCACTGAATGAGTCCTAGTTGTTTGAATTCACCATTCACTGATAGTTGTTTGAGAGCTTCCATCAAAGCTATACTGATAAATGCCTATGATACACCTCTTCCACAGGATACATCATTGGGGTAACTGGTATTAAATCAAATCTAGGCAGGAAGTTGTTCAGATAATTCAGGCTCACAAATATATAACTTGTGGACTTGGCCATAAAAGCAGCAATAGCAGCTAAGATGCCTTTTTGTTATTAGCTGTTTTAAAATATTTATTTAAATATTACTGTCTGTTTCAGATGCAGATATAGCTTCTGCAAAATCACCTATGTCCCTAAAGACTGAAAAATCTGCAGACTCAACTAAAACAAAACAGAGCCAACAGCCCAAAAATGGGAAAGATGATGATTCTAAGTAAGTAATTACTATAAATGATCATCAGTGTTTCTTCTTGATATGTGATAATAACTTTGCATTGCTGTGTCCTGTATATAGATCTGGCAGAATTTGATTTTTATTTTTAATTCTGATTGATTGGATGTTTCTTTAAGCATTTTTAATGTTGTCCATTTCAATGGTCAGAGTGGCACAAAAGTCTGGTTTTAAAGCTTTTTTCCTCATTTTATTTATATTTCACACTTGAGGGAAAGTCTGGCGGGTTAGCCAATAATTATTTAATGATAGACATTTAGATTCAAAAGAATTAAAATTTCATACAGTTAAAACACAGATTGTATAAATATGATATTGACAAAGTAAATAACCTTAAATCAAACTAATGAGTGTTCAAGCAGTATTTTGCTTTGTACATTCCAAATATCAATGGAAATATTTTGGTTGGTTGATTTGTGTGTGTATAGTGAAATTGACATTTACTGATAAAAATCGAATCCTTCCAAGCCTATTACATTACAATTCTCTATTAGACCCTTGGATACCATGGTAATGACACAATATAAAAACCTGAATATATTACTGTTATCTCATGGGATTCTATGACAGCCATCAGCATGCCACCACAAACAAAATTTCTCATGTATCATGCACCTTTGATAACTTCTCCTGCATGCGGTATGTTAATCTAGCTATTCCCACCCATCTCACTTGAAATTCAAGTACTGATAAGAGCAATTTGCTGTCCCCATTGAATTACTGTAGATCTCGGTTCCTCCTGAGCCACTGACACATAGGAGAGTCCAGTCAGAACCCCAATTCAGGGGCCAAGAGTTGGCCAGCATGAATCCCATCTTTGATACGGAGTATGTGTCCCAAATCCCTGAGTGAGGAGAGTGACAAAATTGCCAGGCTCCTAAGCAAGGTAGGGGGTGTCTCTATGCTCCCAGAAAGGGCAGGGCCTCAAGCAGAAGGAACACAACTAGGACTAGCTTCCCCCCACCAGCCCTTCAGTGCCACCTGGAGTGCACCACCTGGGGCTCCGGCTCCAGTTTAAAAGGCCTGGGTCTTTGGCTGCTGCAGCAGCAGTGGCCAGGAGCCTTGGACCCTTTTGACTCACTGGACCATGGGAGAGTTCGCCCCTTTGCTCCCTCCCTTCACCCAACAGTAGGCCTGTGCCTGAGCATTCCCCTTTTATGATATTTTCTAAAATGTCCAGCTGTGTGAGCTCCCTTACTCTTCATTTACTATTCTGTTTTCCCACGACATGAGTACAGGTTGAACCTCTCTAGTTCAGTCCCCCTAGGAACTGACCGGTGCCAAACCAGAGAATTTGTGGAACCAAGGAAGGTCAATATTGTCTAGCAGCATTGCCAACACTTCCCAGGTTCTTAGAAGACATTGGCTATATCTACACTTGCACCCTCTTTCGAGAGAGGGATGAAATGAAGACATTCGAAATTGCAAATGAAGCCGGGATTTAAATATCCTGCACTTCATTTGCATATTCACGTTATGGCGCTATTTTGAAATAACAGACGCTATTAAGACGCAGTTATTTTGAGAGAGAACCATTCTCTCAAAATAACTGGTAAAACTCATTGTATGAGGAATAAGGGTTGTTTTGAGAGAAGGGTTTTCTCTCGAAATAACCGGTCTTAACAGCGTCTGTTATTTCAAAATAGCGCCATAACGTGAATATGCAAATGAAGTGCAGGATATTTAAATCCCGGCTTCATTTGCAATTTCGAATGTCTTCATTTCATCCCTCTCTCGAAAGAGGGTGCAAGTGTAGATATAGCCAATGTCTTCTAAGAACCTGGGAAGTGTTGGCAATGCTGCTAGACAATATTGACCTTCCTTGGTTCCACAAATTCTCTGGTTTGGCACCGGTCAGTTCCTAGGGGGACTGAACTAGAGAGGTTCAACCTGTACTCATGTCGTGGGAAAACAGAATAGTAAATGAAGAGTAAGGGAGCTTCTGTCGTACCTTCCTAAGAGAGATCTGTGATGGGCAGGCTCTCCAATCTCAATTCCAGGCCACAGAGAAAAAGAGTCAGGCACAACCTCCCATGCATGCAAAAGCCATGCAGACGTGCTCCACCTGACATTTGGTCAGTGCTGTACCTTTTTTGGCTCATGACCATAGACTCATAGAATCGTAGACTTTAAGGTCAGAAGGGACCATTATGATCATCTAGTCTGACCCCCTGCACAGTGCAGGCCACAAAATCTCACCCACCCCTCCTAGAATAATCCTCTCACCTATATCTCAGATATTGAAGCCTTCAAATACTTTGAAGACCCCAAGATGCAGAGAATCCTCCAGCTGTGATCTGTACCCCATGAAGGTTTTTCGCCTTCCTCTGTAGCATGGGGTAGAGATCACAGCTGGAGGATTCTCTGCATCTTGGGGCCTTCAAAGTATTTGAAGGCTTCAATATCTGAGAAGATTATTCTAGGAGGGAGTGGGTGAGATTCTGTGGCCTGCACTGTGCAGGGGGTCAGACTAGATGATCATAATGGTCCCTTCTGACCTTAAAGTCTATGGCTGTGTCTACACTGGGCCACTTATTCTGGAAAATCAGCTGTGGGCAAGACTCATCAGCCAGACACCCAGAAAGTTCTCTATAGTAACTCCTACCATCCCTCCATTGACCTATTTCCCACTGATAATGAATGGTCAATTAGTTACCAAGATCATGTTATCTCATCAAACCATCCCCTTCATAAACCCATCTAGTTTAATCTTGAAACCAGATAGATCTTTTGCCCCCACTACTTCCCTTGGAAGGCCGTTCCAGAACTTCACTCCTCTAATGGTTAGAAACCTTCGTCTAATCTCAAGTCTAAACTTCCTACTAGCCAGCTTATATCCATTTGTTCTTGTGTCCACATTGGTATTAAACTTAAATAATTCCTCTCCCTCCCTGGTATTTATCCCTCTAATATATTTAAAAAGTGCAATCATGTCTCCCCTCAGCCTTCTTTTGGTTAAAGTAAACAAGCCAAGCTCCTTTAGTCTCCTTTCATAAGACAGGTTTTCCATTCCTCAAATCATCCTAGTGGCCCTTCTTTGTACCTGATCCTGTACCTTTGTACCTGTCTTGGTCACTCTGGACCCTGTCCGTACCCTCCAGCATATCTACCTCTCCCCCTACCTGTGTGTCATTTGTTAATTTGCTGAGCCACTTCTTCAGATGATCAGATTGAGTGTGGGATGTGTACACCCGAAATAAATAGGAGAGGGGGAGGGGAGGGAAGAAAAAGGGAGGTAGGTAGGAGATAGAGCATCAGTACGTATCTGAAGATTGGATAGTTAAACCGAAGCAGATAAAAATCAGTCAATAGACTCCCGTGTGAAGAAGGATACAACACAGAGAGCTGTTTGCACCTTTAATGGTTGTTAAATTGGTAGTGTCCTAACCAACTTTCATCACGGTTGAGTCCATTAGCATGCGAATTGAATTTGCGGATTAACTCTAATTCCAATGCTTCCCTGTGGATCTGGCTTGAGTGTACACGTCCCAAACTCATAACTCTGGTCATCTAAAGAAGTGGGCTGTGCCCATGAAAGCTCATGATACCATCTACATGTTTTGTTAGTCTATCAAGTGCTACCAGACCATTTGTTTTTTTTCCTGTAACAGACTAACCCAGCTGCCCCCTGAAGCTTACTTTCATGTAGTAATTCATCCTTTCCATAAAAGATTTCTTCAGTTCATTTTCAGTCACAATTGTTACTAATACCATCTGCTACCCTTTGGTCTGTCTTGAGTCCCTAAGGAATTCTGATGAATGATGGCAGTTGTAGCTGCCTACCTCTGTTTTTTAGGAATAACTGCCATTCTCTACCTCAACAACTGTCTCCTCAAAGGTTGCTCGTATTTGTAGTTACAGTCAGCAGTGCAAACAACTCCAATGTTCCTGAAGTCTAGACCTACAGATAAATGTGGAGAAACTTATTTTCACTCTCTCAGTGATTTCTCTTCATAAGAGTACATCCAGATTTCATAATGGGCAGAGCTTATCTCCCTCTCACTTGCTTTCTTGCCCAAAGGAACCTTATACAAAGAGTGCAGCTCAGCCCTCAAGTTCCAGCAAGAATATGTCTGTAACTTCTGGGACATGTGGTGGCTTGCATTTTGTAACACAAAACACTAGGTTATATCTTCAGTGTCTATGGGTGGCTCAGAACTGTATGTGTATCCAACACACATCCACACAGTCTAAACAAGCAGCTGTCTATACCTAGAAAGATCCTACAGTCACTCACCTGCTGGCTGAATCATTCAAAATTTGTGCAGTTCAGCTTAAAATTATATTAACATTGGATGCTTCCCTCTTGGGATTAGGAGCACATTTGGGTCCTCACTCAGTCCAAAGTAAGTGGTTATAAAAGGAACAGTGCTTGCACATCAATCTGTTTGAATTGAGAGATAAGAAATGCTCGCATCCCCTTTTTTCCAGTGCTCAGATACAAGTCCATCAGGATCTTGACAGACAGCATAGCATGCATAAACTATATCAGTCATCAAGTTGGAGAATATTCCCCACTGACTCTGTGCCAAAGTGGTGCAGAGTTACTTTGGAACTGGTGCATTACCCAGTTGGATAGTCTTTTTGACTTCTTACCTCCCAGGAATATAAAACCCAGTTAGTAGACAATCTGAACAAATGTTTCTCTTGAAATTTTGAATTGGAGTTGGACTCTGGAGTCTTTAGCAAAATACTCCTAGCTTGGGAATTTCCAGAGGTTGACCTTTTTGCTACAGTAGACAACATAAAGTTCAAGAGGATTCAATTTGAACTTCTATGCCTCTTTTGGGATCTTGACTTGGTTCTTAACTGCCTCATGAAATAATCCTTTGTGCTTGCTGCTACATTTCCCTTTGAAGATGGCCTTCTTAGTGGCCATCACATTTGCTCAAAGTATTGGAGAGATGGGTATTCTAATGGTAGATCCTCCTGTGGTGTTTTTCCAAGAAGAATGTATTTTTAGTCTCATCCAAGTTCTTACA